TGGCTTATACAAAATATGTAGCCAACAATAATATTCATGAACAAGTATTAATAACATGCAAATTGAACTGAATAAGATATAACTTTTAAATTATTTGCAAATTTACAAATATATACCTCAAAATGCGACTTTGCAATGTCCATGAATCATTAATAAAGTGTGCGGTGACAGTCATGAATCCTTTTTTTTTTTATTATTAGCAGTCCACATATCAGTTGTGATTGTCACTCTACTTTTATTATGCTCCACCAAACTCAATGTCTTCACCCTCTCATAATCATAAATCTTTAAAATATCACTCTTTATCATATTTCGAGAAGGCGCTTTAAACAATGGTTGAAGTGCGGCTAAATATCATTTAAAGCCAACATGATCTACGATAGAGAGGGGATATTCATGCAATATTATGGCATGTGACTACTCTTTTCTAGCAAAATCTTGATAAAAAATATAAGAATTCATTTTTGGGCTCTCTCTATTAAAGTTATTAGTTAAAATTTTTTGCTTCATGTCCATCATTTTTTTTCTTAGTACAACTCCTATGGTGATCATGCAAATGCCTAGTTCCATTTTTTGAATCACTTCCAAGATGCTTATTACAATAATTATATATTGCCTTCCACACCCCATTGACTTGTTTCTTAAAGTGTTCCCACACAACACTAGGTTTTCTTTTACTTCCTCCACAAGTATTAGACTCTTTTTCTAAATCAATAACATTTTTATTAGAGAAGGGAGACTGTGAGTCCGTAGGTGAGTTGGTAGCTGGTGATGATTGTTGTGATGCGTCACTCTCAAATGGCACTTGAGAGTTAACTGGTAGTTTAGGGTTAACTGGTACTTGAGAGTTAACATCTGACATTTTTTACCTTTATAAAAATAATATGGATTGAATTAAAATGTGAATGAATCATTAACAAATCAGGTTACAAACAGATCAATAAAATAAATAGATCAATAATTAAAAAAAAGATCATATTTTGAATGAACTTTGAACTTTGTGTGTGCAAATAAGAGCTCTCTTATTTGTTCCCACTTTGTTAGCTAGCTTTATTTCCCTAGTTCAAAGTTTTGAAGTCACATTTTCACAAACCCAAGTACCAATCATATCATCACTGATATGCACTAGAGAGCTCTTGAAAACATTATCCTTAGAAGAGGAATGAAATCCCAAAAAAGAATATTATTCATTGATGCTTAATCAAACTCTCTCTCTCTCTCTCTCTCTCTCTCTCTCTCTCTCTCTCTCTCTCTCTCTCTTTTCACTTTAAAAAATTACAGGTTACAAACTCTGCTTAATAAAAAACTATTGTTTCACCCACTTTAATTCTTACACATTTTGAGACATGAAATTAACTATAATTTCAAATAACAGATAACTCTGCTTAATAAAAAACTATATTGACCCCATGGAATTAACTATAATTTCAAATACATTTATTTCTTTTGCACTTCCTTGTAAATGAAAAATAAAAAATTAAATTAAATGACCTATATTGCTGATTCATGATAAACTCGTCAAATTAAACTAATGAATAGTGATGATACCAATTACCAAAAATAAAATAAACAACAGATTTCATATATATATATATAACAAATCAGTAACAATAGATCAATAACAGATAACAGATCAAATTTCATATATATATATATATATATAAATAACAGATTAGTAACAACAGATCAATCATATATATACACAATAGATCAATAACAGATTACAGATCAATCATATATATTTTGATTAGAGAAAATACTAAAATAAATAAATAAATTTAGAGAAAAATAAATAAACTCTGATATATATATATATATATATATGTCTGTAAACCCTAGTAGATCGAAATCCCTAGAGAGAGATAGAGAGAGAGAGAAAAAGAGATACCCTAAACAGCAGTGGTGAGGGAGGATGATCGGCGGTGAGGTATGAGCAATAGTGAGGGAGGATCGGCGGATCGGCAGTGACAGAGGAGCGACAATCGTCGTTCGTTATGTGAGAGAGAGAGGGGAAGGCGAAACGCTAAGGTTCTTGGCAACGGTGGAGAGAGAGAGAGAGAGAGAGAGAGAGAGAGAGAGAGAAAAAGAGAGAGAGAGAGCAATAGTGTTAGTGTTTTGTGTGTGAGCAGAGTGTTTCTACAAAACCCTATACGCGCACATATATATAAGGAGGGGCAAAATAGTAATTTCACATCGGGGTTTATACGGGGTGGGGATCGGGATCGGGATCGGGATCGGGGTCGGGGTCGGGGTCGGGCCGGGCCCAGGACTGAAACATGTATCCCTGTCCCCAGCCTAACTATCACCGGGGATACATTTTTTAATACCATCCCCGGCATGTCGGGGGTATTTTTCGGGGAATAACTGCTCAATTTGAGGTCGGGGGGTTGAGTCCCCGTTGAGTCAGGTTCCAATTGCCATCTCTATTTAGACACCTGTTAGATAGGGAGTTAGCTACGTGGCAGACAAAGATCCTACAGAATTATTGAGGCTAGGTATCAAGCATCAAATTAGACTGCCATGGTATTAAATGCAACAAGACCTCTTGTTCCCTGGTATGGTGAAACTGTCATGACCGACGACGAGTAGACCATAAACTTTTGGCCAATAAGACAGCTTGAATGGATAAGGAAATGATTAGTAAAAGATATAAGAAATCTTGTGAAGAACGTTAAAAAACAACAAGTAACACTCTTGCTCTTCTTCTTTTTCTTCTTCTCCTCCTCAACTATCAACTTTCACTACTCTTTTCTTTTCAATCATTTCTTGTCTAATTGAACCATTAGAGAGTTCACGGGGAGAAACCTCCCTAGTCTTGGTACCTTCCCATTAGGCCTTTTGCAGGCGTGCATCAAGATGACGAAAACTAGAAAATCCATGGAGCGCGTGATTCAGTTCGACCCATCTCCCATTGTGTTGTATTATCATTATTAAATAAGGAATAAATTAAATTTTTCATCAAACTTGTGAAGCCGACATGGAGTGACCAGCCTTTGAGTGGAGACACCAGTATAATTGAATCTAGTTGAACTCTTGTCCATAAAAGGCAAACAAATCGATTACACGTTTTAGAAAATTGTCAAAAAAGAACAAAAATGACAATGAAAATACAAAACAAAACACAACAAAAAATGACAATGACATCCAACAAAGTGCAATGTATCATGGAGCCAAAGACCAATCATGATTCATGCCACATCATGCCAGTTAAGCTAAAGGTGCAAGACCACCAAGGGGCTTCATAGTCCATTAAAATATATTTTAACTTTTAATTGTATTTTAATAATTCAATTGGTTTATTTGTAAGTTATTGTGAGAAGATAATTTATTTAAAAATAAATATATGATTTGTAGTCATATTATTTCGTTAAATAAATTGTTCATACCTTTTAAACAAAATAATGAGGATAAATATGATTCGATAATCATATTCATTTCGTTAAATATGATTTGATAATTATATATATATTTTTAAATAAATATAATAAAATAATATAATTATTAGAAGCGTTAATTTTTTTTATAAATGATAAATTATAAAGCGTGTTACATTATACAATAAATATAAAATGAGAAGAATTTTTGTCGCTTAGTGCACTTTTTTTTTGGGGGTCTTTATAACCCTTTTGGCCTTTGTTTGTCCCCCCTTTTATAAAACTTGTCTGTATATGTGGTGTGGGACGCACTTTTTTTTTGGGGGGCTTTATTACTTTATGATTTGAAAAAAAAATTGGTTTAATTTTTAAAATTTTATTTTGTTTTCAAATTATGATTTAAATTAAAATTTATAATCAAAAAATTTTTTAAAATACAATTTAAAATTACTTTTAAAACTCTTTTTTTTTTCTCTTTTTTAAAATTATTATTAATCAATTAATCAATCACTTTTTCTCTTATCTCTCTTCTCACATTCTCTCATATTTTATATATTAATCAATCAAAAGAAAAGTACAAATCATTTCAAAATTATTTTCAAAACTCATAATTAAACAAAATTTTTCTTTTAAAATCATGATTTAAAAACTCAAAACTTAAAACACAATTTTCCATTCAAATCATAATTCTAAAATTAAACCAAATAGAATTAATGATGTTCAAATTTAATTGTTTTTCAAATCACGTGATTGCTAGCATATCTACTAATATTTTGAGATTTGTTACATTCTTTATTTTCAAATAATTTTTCAAACTATGTAAGCATCTCCAACGGTTCAGTATTTTTTTTATTAAATTTGAGTAAAAAATGGCTCATTTTTTCAATTTGATATCAGTTGCTGCAACGGTGCATCAAAAAGAAGAATCATCCCGTGGGTCAATCGGTTGGTCGACCGGTCAGGCAATTATTATTTTATTTTTTTGACCTTTTTAAACTGTTTGAACCTACCTAACCGTTGGTTCAAATTTTTTTTGAACCATTTGAACCAGTAATTTGAACTATTTGAACCAGTTCGCAGGTCAATTTTTGAACCATTTGCATGATTGGTCAACCGGGTGGTCGACCAGGGGATCAACTACGTGGTCAACCAAGTGGTCGACCACCATGTGTAAAATTTTCACAAATTTTTGCTTTAACGGCTATGCACAATAAATTGGTGAAAGGAACAACCCGTCCTCAGTTTAGTGAAACGTTTGATATTTTCTCATTTTGATACTAATTTGCTGAAACTATTGAAGTACTAAAAAATGACTTTTTCATCAAAATTTAAATCTGATGCCAAGTTTGATGAAGCGTTAGAGATGATCTAAACTTTTAACTAGAATATAGAACCCAAACAAGAGAATTTCATCTGAATAAGAACCGGATCTGGGCCCTGAATCCGGGTCGATCACGGTTCGCCACAGACGGCGTCAAAACAGTCCGGATCTTCCTACCCGTGGACCGGGAGACCCGATTTATACTGTTCTAGTTTCGTTCTGGTGAATTTTCAGGGGTTTTTGTGTGTTTGGGCAGTGCGACAAGAATTGGAATTGAATTGTTTGGCTATAAAAATGGAAGAAATAGGAAATCAGAAGCAGAGAAGAGTAGCTTCGTCCAATTCGATTGGTCGTTGTTTGATATCATTTGTGTCTTCATCCCTAACTCAACTGTCCCTCTTCTTGCTTCCTTCCTTCTTCCCTTCCTTCTCTCTCCTCTCACTCTCAGGTCCTCTCTCTCTCTCTCTATATATATATATATGAATATGTGGTTGAAGTGGTTGCTTTTTTTGCAGCTGTAGCACTGTGGGGAGTGACAGGTGTTGGGAGATGCTGCAAGAGACTTGTAGGAGTGGAAGCATCAGCGCCGGCGTTCGTTTTCTTCGATATTATATTCATTTGGGGGGTTTTTATTGGAATGTTTCGACAAGGTCCCTCTTTATTCTCAGTAATCTCTCTCTCTCTCTCTCTAGTCTCTAATTTGTATCCTCAATATGATTCACTGTTTGATTATTCTACGAATTTTAAAATCTGGGTTCTGCATACAATGGGATTCTGATGGTGGGTTTTTTCAACAGTTCGAGATGGTTTATTTATTCATCATATACATGGTGTTTTCAAGGAATTTTTAGGTGTAGATGCCACGTAGTTCCTTCTACTATTATGATTGAATTTGACAATAGGATCCATTACATTTATGTTGGGTGTTTGAGGAAAAATAGGGGCATATACAATAATTGAAGTTAGTGGCACGTGTATGCTATTATTAGCATGTAAAAATTTCCCGGTGTTTTCTGTTTGTTTGGTCATTTCTCTGTAAAGGAGTGAGTAATTTATTTTTTCCAACCAGATAATAAATTATGTGAGAATGCTCAAATTTTGGGTGGATAGGTTTTTCATCATCGATACGTGTCTTCCTTTTCCAAATTGTGACTTGTATGGAATCCTGACATCCTTATAAAAATTGTCTTTTTTTCAGTCATTTCACCTTTGCTAGACATTATACTCAACGCAGAGTTCTTTATGCTCGTGATTGGTCTATGCAGGTCAGATTATTGTTTCTGCACTCAAAAATTTATTGAATTGATTTGTTCGTACAAAATCTAGATTTAAGGTTTGAAAGAATGAATTTCAATCATTTATTCATTGTCCTAACTGTGTGTTTCTTGGTGCCAGTATCCTGACAACAGACCCTGGTTATGTTACAAATGAATCTTCCCATCATAACCAACTTGTTGAGAGTCCTGTCTCAGTATTTGAAGCCCATTCTGAGGTTGTAAATTTTGAGAAGCCCTTCCAATTAGATATGATTAACACAGCTATTGAAATTATCTACTGGTGCAGGAACTGGTGCCTTCAACTCGTGACATTCCCTATGAGTTCGTTGCTGAAGAAGTAAGGTGATTCCGGTGATTTCATCAGTTACAGCATTAAATACCACTGAGTTTGCGATCATATTTAATTTATCCTTTGCATTTTAGTTTTCAAAATTGGCTTTGGTAGCCTTGCTAGTTTTGCTTCATGTTTTGCTTCTCAAATATTATCTTGATTTAATACATACTAGGTAGTCAGATGTGATTGCAAGGAACTATGAATATCAACTGAAACTTTAATTATCGGGTCTATATTTCATAGCTTACAATGATCCTGGATTTCTGGTTTTTTATTTTTTGGAATCTGGATTCCATAGTGAAAAGCCGAAGACTTTAAATGTAATCGGGTGGCAATATGTGTTGAACTATCTTAAATTCTGTTGCGTTTCATTATAGCAAATCACTATTGATTGAAAATATCTCAGCTTTCTATTCATGTTAAATTTCTGTTTAGCCACAAAATCTTAGCACTTCATTTACTTCTTTATCATTGAAATCTTATGTATTCTGAAGTCTTCAGTATTTATACTATCACAGAATTCTATTCCACTCCAGAGAGTCAGATATGTAGGCACTGCAAGGCATATGTAAAGGGGTTCAACCACCATTGTCCTGCCTTTGGAAACTGTATAGGTAATGACAACATGTGGGTATAGTTCTTTACATTTTTAACTACTTCAGACAACAAAAACTGTTGCCTTTTTCGTTCTTATTAAACTAGTCTTGGATTTGGTAAAACAGTGGGTCTTGCTGCCTTTGTGGATGCTGACATTGATATTCTTTTAATGCAGGTCAAAAAAACCGTGTCCTCTTCATAATCCTCCTAGTTGGGTTTGTTTTTACTGAGGCTTCGTATGTAGCGTGCTCATCTCAGTGTAAGGTTGAATATATTGGATACTGACCTGCATTAGTTTCAACAATTTACTTTTTTGGTGAAATTAATTATGCTAATTTTATTCTTATTATGAATTTCAGTTGCTACAAAATTTCAGATTATGGATAACATTGGGGGTCTGGTACATTTTCAAATCTTCTATTTTCATGATATTTTGCCCTTTTGTACTAACAGTCCATTAAGAAAAGAAAAGAAACGATTAGGTAGGAGAGAAAAGAAACGATAGCGGTATCCTTCTTTCTTGTTTGGATAATATAGGAGAGAAGAAGAAGGAAAGATGGAGATATAGTAAAAGAAAAGCAAATTTTATTATGTACAGGGTAAAATGAAAACCACTTGTTATAAAAATCAAGGACAAAATTGATAATCACCAACTCTCATTCCCTCTTTCCAAATCTCTCCACGTAAAAGTAAATTTGAAAAGTTTGTTTATATGGGATTATGGTTTCTCTCCATTTTTCTCCCCATTTTTTTTTGCTCCTCTTAAACTATCCAAACAAGTGATTAGGGAGAAGAGAATCCCTTTTCTTTTCTCTTCTCTCCAAGTATTCCAAACAAATGGATTATTTTAGTTGGACAAAATCAAACTCTTCATACTTTATTTTTTTTTTTGATGACTCAGGTATCCCCACAGCTGAAGCATGTGACTGATCCTGAGGGCCCTGAAGTTAACGACCGGGCAAACCTCCAGTGGCCCGCACAGTAACCCGTGGGGAGTGGGATTCGAACTTAGGACCTCTAGGAGGAGCAAACTCCCAGACCCCAGGTTTTCTTCCCTCACCCACTGGGCCACCCTTGCGGGTTAACTCTTCATACTTTATGACTTGTATTTTTGTTATATTTACATTTTATTTGTGCAGACTAGTTCATCTAGAAATTTGGCAATTTGCACAATGCTATTCTCTCTTCTCCAAGTGCTCTGGCAGGTGTACATTGTTTCTTCTCCTATACAAGTTCTTCCCTATTTGAATATTGAATTGTTATCTAACAGGAACATGCTGGTGAATGTTTATAGGGGGTGTTCCTGTTGTTTCAACATCAAAACTGATGAATGGGTAAGTTCTCAAATCTATTCTGTACACTGATGTAGTCATACTGTGAGCTTTAATTTTTTCAATTCTCTAATTTCTTGATCTTTTGAATGCTTGTAAATTAGAGTTGGAGCCCTCTGATCTTTGAATTCCCAAACCTTCTTGAACTCCTTAAAGAAGCATTTTAATCTATATGGAAGAAGCAAGGGATGTTTATGTATGGAAGAAGCAAGGGATGTTTATGTAACCAATTTAGTGCTATGGTGTATAGATTTGGCTTGTCAACAAAGATTATTAAGGAAACTCCTTTCCGAGCCTTTTTAATATCAAATGATTTCTCTCCTTTGTAAAATATATTTACCCTTTACTTTAATGTGGAAAATAGTTACCCTCAAAATCTTGCTTGGCTGCATGGATGGCCTCAGTATGGTGTTGAGAAGACCTCAAGTAGAATTTTTTGACTCTTGACTGGACATAAAAAACCGTAGGTTAGACAAGTTAGATAATGTACAGCCAGCACCATGGATGGCCCGAGTCAGAATATGTCTAATTATGTGTGAAGAATAGGATAACAGAAATCTGCAGCATTTGTGACTGTAGACACTATTTTTATGCAGACAAACTGGAAGAGGTATCCAGAGTTCCATCAGACTGTCCAGTCTGAACCAGATATTTTTAGTTCATAGTGAAAGTGAAAGTGGAACAAGGTTTACAAATCCATATGACAAGGGCATTCTGTGGAATGTGAAGGAGTTTCTGACAGCAAAAGAATGATAAGTGCATCTCGCTTGGAAAGCTATATACATGGTTCTCCGTTGCCGCAAAAGATGGGTTACGTTTATAAATTAAATATGTATTTTTATAATTGATTTAAGAAAAAAAATTTAAAAAAAGAAAAAATATAATAGAAATGATTTAATTTTTTCTTTTCTTTGTTTAAATTTGGAAGAATGTTTATAATCATGAGAGTGGTGCATCTATGCTGCTTGCAAATTCTTATATGTTATCTCTATGCCTAGAGATGCTCCTTTCTTTAAATTATTTGTAATTCTAAATGGTTTTTGTATGATAATTTATTTTCATAGATGGATGAGAATATCAATGACTTTGACGATGAAAGTAATGATGTGCTTCAATTGTACGTAGTATTGCAAGTTGTAATGCAAGAACTGTTTGCCTTATGCATTGTAGCTTCTGTTGTCATTGAAGTTATCTTGAAGAAGTATTTATGTAAGTATCCATATAATCTTATTAGAGGATCAAATCGGTTGCAAGAACAAATGGACAATATTAATCTTTTAGTGAGAGAAAGCGACATAACATGTATTGAACACCTTCATATGGATCGACGTTCTTTTATGACCTTGTGTAATGTGATTCATACAATTGGTGGGTTAGGACCTTCAAAACATGTCACTTTAGAAGAGAAGGTGACTTATTTCCTCTTCATTTTGGTATAACACTTGAAAATACAAAATGTTAAGTTCAATTTCTATAGATTTGGGTAGATTGCCAGTCGATATGTCAATGATGTCTTAAAGGCCGTGTTACGCCCATAAGCCAACTTAGCACACCAAATCCTATTACCGAAGCAAGCACAGATCTATGGTGGCATTGCTTTCAGGTAAATATATTGTCTACAAATTTGGTCACTTTACATTACTTTTTCTTTTCTTTTCTTATGTTCTCTATTTTACCCAAAAAAAAAAAAAAAAATAACTATTACAATATCTATTCAGCTGGTTTGTTTAGAATTGTCTTAGAGCACTTGATGGCACCTATATTAGAGTTCGTGTACCGTGATTCATCAAGCAATGTATAGGATAAGAAAGGGAGATATTGGTACTAATGTTCTAGGAGTTTGCTCCCAACAAATGAATTTTATATATGTGTTGTCGGGGTGGGAAGGGTTAGCGGCCGACTCTAGGGTTTTAAGAGATGCAATCAATTAGCCTAATGGCCTAAGGATTCCAAATGGTAATTTCAAGATACTTAATTCTTCTAAAGTTTATGTATAATAATTGAGTTTAATGCATAACATTCCACACCCAGGTTACTACTACCTAGTGGATGCGGGCCATACGAATGGGTAAGAATTCTTAGCACCTTACCGTGGTCAGCGATACCATTTGCCTGTTTGGAGAGAAGGGGGGCAACTCCAAGTAATCACCAAGAATATTTCAATATGAAACATGCACAAGTCAGGAATGTTACAGAAAGGTGTTTTGGATTGTCGAAAATGAGATGGGTAATACTTCACAGTGTATAATACTATCCCATTAGAACCCAAAATCATATTATCATAGCATGTTGCTTGTTACACAACTTCATTCGACTTAAATGATGAACTTACAAAGTTGCCAATTACCATAGATGAAATGTTAGATGCTTACGAAATCATATCCCATGATGTCTAAAAACTTGACATTTTCTTCAGCTTGAGACATGATGATAGGCTGAGGTGGGTAATGAGGTTGCTAAGTAAGAATGCTCCATAATAAACTTGTGGTATATGATGGGAATATTTGGTTTTTGGGTTATGCTCCATAGACCTAATTGTTGCTTTTTCTCTTCGTCAAGCACTGTATTTTGTGGGTTAAATTGTTATATCATGATTTGGTGCCTTTGACTCATCTAGTCATTGGATACTGTTGTTTTTGTTGTTGAAAGTTGCTAGTTGTAAGAGCAAATATTTGTACCTGCTAACATCTCTATGAACATATACCACTTTGATGTTAGTTGCTGTTTTTATTTTGGTTGTTGTACTCTTTTTTGTTTTGGATTCGTGGTGCTGGTCTTGTTATTTGGATGATTAGTAATTGGTGTGTTATGTGGATTTGCTGGTGTGATAAGGAAGTGTTGGTGTGTTACATATTGTTGTTGTACTCTTTTTTGTTTTGGATTCGTGGTGCTGGTCTTGTTATGTGGATGATTAGTAATTGGTGTGTTGTGTGGATTTGTTGGTGTGGTAAGGAAGTATTGGTGTGTTACGTATTGTTGCTAGTGCGTTGCGAGATGCTGCTGGTATGCTGCTTTTAATCTATAGTTGTGAAGGTTTTTTTTTGTTGAAATCTCTTCAACTTTTGTTTTTTGTTCTTTTGGTTTTTGGGTGTGTGCTCTTTACTCTTTCTTTGTTGATGTATTTATGCTTTGTTCATTCTATGCATTAATAAAGCTTTTTTTTTTTTCGTTGATCAAAAAAAAAAAAAAAAAGTTCTTTTTTTTGTGTTGGATAAAAATTAGAAGCAAACTGGTCTTATTTATATTGAAATAACATGACCATTAAAAAATATAACTATTGGAAAAATGTTTGTTTCAAACATTGAAAAAATTAAACAATTAATTGTGGTCCACTAATCAATTATAAATAAAGATTAAATTTAGAGACAGATTTAATATTGTTATTACTTAGTAAAGAATTGAAAGGGGTAAAATAGTCTTTTGTTTATTTATCCTTATCCAGTCCGTCAAACCAAACATTAGATTTATTAAAAATAGTCATTTCCAAACATTTAATCTCATAAGAAAACAAACATGGATACACATCTAATCCAACCAAATCAAATAGTCCAAACATTAGATTTACTAAAAATAATCATTTCCAGATATCTAATCTCATGAGAAAATAAACACGGGATACACTTCCAATCAAACCAAATAGTTTGGGGGGATTCACAGTCCCAAGATTTAAGTCCGATGGATTTTAATCTTCCTTATCAAGTCTGGTGGATTCACATGTTTGATTGGATGGACTAGATAAGGGGGATTAGAATTTATCGGATTTGAATCCTGAGACTATGAATCCTCCGGACTATTTAGTTGGATTGGATGTATATCTGTTTGTTTTCTCATGGGATTAGATGTCTAGAAAAAATTATTTTTAGTGAATCCAAGTTTGATTGGATTGACTGGATAAGGATAAATAAGCAAAAGATTATTTTACAATTTTTCAATTGTTTACTAAGTAATAGTAATAGAATAATGTTTGAGAGCTCTAATTTGGCCCCCCCTAATCCCCCTAATCCCCAAAACGACGTCGTTTTGGGGATTTTTTTTTTCTTCTTCCATGTTCGACTCTGCAACAGCTCGGAGGGAGAGGGAGAGAAAGAGAGAAGAAGAGGGGAAGAGAGAAGAGATCGTCGCCCAGCACGTCGCCGCCGATCGCGCAGCCCGTCGCCCAGCTCCGATCGTCGCAGCAGCTCCGCCGTCGCCTCCGGCCCTGCCTCCGCCTCCTCCCACTGTTATGGCCCCCTCCAGTCCACTCCTCCTCCTCCTCCTCCTTCCTCCTTCCTCCTCCTCCCTTCTCTTCTCCTTCTTTGCTTCTGAAAAAAAATAATCAAGATTAGGGGGATTCGGGGGAGCTCGTTTTTGAGCTCCCTAGCACGGTCGATAGTAATATTAAATTAAATATCAATAAAAATATATGTTTTTCAATTAAAATTTTAAATAAATTTATATTAAAAAATAATAATAATTAAATAATGAAATTAAATAAAATATAAACAAAATTTTAAAATAAAATATCAATAAAAAATTAAATAAATAAAACATCAATAAAAAGTTAAATAAAATTATTTTATTTTTAAATAGAGGTTTAAATTTTATTAAATTACTAAATATAATACATAATTAAATAGTAGATGGTCAAAATGGTCATTTCATTACCTAATCTCGCGGGATTGTTATCACATAAAAATTGTCCCATACACCACCTCTCCCGACGTTGTAATCCTACATATTGGGGATAAGGAGTCTAACTGGACTCCATGTTCAGCGGACTAAAAAAATAAAAATAAACGCCGATTAAAAGAATTTCAATAAATTACAATTCAATCCCACACTCTGATCATTCCCATCAAACACCTCCTATGTATAATCCTGTTCATGGTGTTTGTATACAGATAGATGCCTCGTATGATCTGCGACTTGTTAGATTAGAATGAGAGGACAAATTTAGTAGTTGTTTGGCATGTTGGGTTGGGATGGATTGGGACTAAAATAATCACAAAAATTGAATTATTTTGGGAAGATAATTAAAAGTTAATTTTTTTGACTTTTTTTAAAAACAATATGTAAAAAATATAAGAGATAATGTGATCTAAAATGAATTAAAAACTAGAAATGACTTTTAACCCACTTCCTAATAGATTTTTAGTCTCAGGCTAAAGTTATCACCTCTAAACCATAATCAATATTTTTTTCCCTATAAAAGTCAACAAAATTAAAAATTCATTCCAAACAAAAATTTTTAACTCCAAATTAAAATAGTTTAAAAGTCCACTCACATCACATTCCAAACTGCCTATCTAAAATAGTTTCTCTGCCGAGCAAAAACTGGATGATTGATTGATTATCTATGTAAGTAAAGTATGTTGTCTTGAATTTTGCTGGTGTTATTTTGCTTATTATGATATCACTGGCCAAAATGAAATGTCATGGTAAGAAGTAAGAACCTGAATTTACAGAACCAAAAAGATCAGAAGAGAAAGGAGAACAGGAAGAAAGAGTTTTTAGATCAAATACACAATTCACTCACAGTCCAGCGACAAAGATCAAACACACCCAAAGACATTGACATCTAAAAATGGCTCTTGCCATACTCATTAAGATGGACTGACCCTAAAATTACTATAATAGCAACCTAAATCAAGCATTGAAGCATTCTTGAAGTTAACAGGATCCCTGGTCTTTGTTCACATTGGGCTTTATTGGGAGGAACATATCTGTGAGGACTGTAGTAGACTTAGAGAAAGCCTTCATGAACAGCTTCAAACCCTAACCAAACAACAATAGAACTCAAAAGTTGTTAATCAATCAAAAATGTTTGTAATGTTATACAAAATAAAATTGTTGTACAAAATTTCACACAGAATTATGTGAGCTTTTGGTGACCATTTCATTTAAAGTTGAAACACACGTAATTACAAAAATATTATTGTTATATCTTTCTGGAACAAAAATACATTTTTTAATTATTTTCCATCACAAATTAACTTGATTGAATTTGGAACTTAGGGCTATTTTGAGAAGATGATTAAAAGTCTATCTTCTAACTTTTAACTCATTTTAGATCATATCATCTCTTACATTTTTAAACACTTTTACAAAAAAAAAGTCAAAAAAAATTAACTTTTAACTCAAAACAACTCTTAAACAAAAATGTCAATGTGCCCAGAAAAATATTCAAAATTTGAATATACGATATAGATTCAAACTTGATATAATATAATATACACTCGTGATGAATCTGATGCACACGTTTTAAATTCTGGATAATTTTTGTGTATGTTTTTTTCCTGGACACGTAGCATTGCTGAAACTTAAAACAAGTAAAAGGAGATGTTAACCATACCTCGTCCATGTCAACCGTCACTGTCTTCTCTTGGAGGTTGGTAATGTCCTTGACCTTAAGATTGTTGAGAAGAGCAATGCTAGAAATGGAGGACATAGGTTTGACCATGAGATCACCCATCACCATGGAAGTCACCACTCCTTTAACAAACCCATGCACCATATTCACATTCACATTCACATTTCTATGACGAGAATACCCATCATCAACGTTGGTCTGGTTTGGTGGGTCTGCCATTGCTAAAAATTGCTTCAACAGAGGGGTTTGGGCAGTGTTAGATGCACCAATCTTGGGTGTCAAGAGGGTGTCATTGGTCTGATTTGGTTGTAGATAGTCATTGTCTAGGTTTTGGACACTCTGGTAGACTCTGCTCAACGACCTAAATGTTGTAGCCGTGTCATCATGTTTGGTCAGAAGTGCCAAGATAGTACCTAGAGGAAGCGCGAAAAGGCCAAAAAGGAGGTCGACAAAGTCCTTTTTGGCCTCGGCGAAGAGAACCTTGTTGGAGTTGGTGTCTATGAGGAGTTTCAAGCTGATTTTTGAATTTGCTATTGTTGTTGTAGCCATATCTGAGACTGCTGAAATGTGTTAGCAATTACTCAGGAAACTCCTTTGTCTTGCTGCTTACTTATTTGTGTAATGTTGCTTTTATGTAAGGGGTCTTAGAAATAGATTGTGTTTCCGGTGTTACTTCAATAGTGAACTTAGTTTCCCTATCAATTAAGTTTCCAGGCAAGTCATTCGGAAACACATCAGGAAATTCACTAGCAATAGGAATAGTTTCCATATTAGAATTATCAGAAATCTCAGTCCAAACACAACACATGTAACCCCTACATCCCTTTCCAAGCAGTTTAACAGTTTTCATGGTAGAAATCAGGTATGGGGGAGGAATTACCCCATTTCCAGTAAACACAATCTCAGGTAAGCCAGGTGGACGAAATACAACAGATTTATTCACACAATCTATGGTGGCACAGTGCTTAGTCAACTAATCCATACCCAGAATACAATCAAAATAATCAATATTCAAGGGTAGTAAATCAACATACAATATCATTTCACCAATCATAAGATCTTATGCCGGATAAGCATAAGCACATATCATAGAACCCCCAGTCGGTGTAGATACAGATAGCAAACAATTCATAGGTTCTAACGGTTTAGTTAATTTTCGAGAAAAAACGTGCGATAAAAATGAATGCATGGAACTGGAATTAATCAGCACATAGGCATTCTGAGCATAGATAGAAATCATACCTGACACTTCTGATTCAGTGTTTTGTACATCCCTAAGCACTAAGGCGAATACTCTCCCTTGCCTTAACGTTTCATTCCAGTTGTTGCCCCTGGTATTAGTTTTGGTATTTGATCTGGCCAATGAAGCAGACCCAGCTGAACTTGCTGCGGGGTGACTGACATTCCCGGATCCCAGTGGACAATCTTTTATTATATGGCCAACTTTGCCACATTGGTAACAGGCACCAGATGCACGGTAGCATACTTCTCTATATTTTTTGCCACAATTTGGACAGTTTGGTATAGATCCACTACTTTGACCGGAGCTACTGGAGGATCCTGTGTTTTGTTTCTTCAAAAGTGATCGGCCTTTTTTGAAATTAAATCCAGCCCTTTTACCTTTCCATTCAGTCATTGGACTTGTAGCTTGTTTCTTTGCCGCCAGGATGGCCTTTGCTATCAATGCTCTATCAAGGACATCAACATATGTAGGCAATTGCAATACACCTACTCAGTCATACACTTCCAGATCTAATCCCCCTTCAAAATTTTGAGCTTTTTTGTAATCTGTATCAACCATATGAGGAGCAAATCTGGTTAACTCAGTGAATTTAGCTTCGTACTAGGCTACTGACATCTTTCCTTGCTTAAGTTCTTAGAATTCGAACACTTTCCGATCTTTGAAGCATTAGGGAATGTACTTGTCATAAAAGATCTCATTGAAATGAGCCCATGTCATATTCCCATTACTGCCTCGAATTAGTAACCACCATCTACGGGCTTCATCTTTTAAGGTATAAGTGGCCAAGAGAACCTTTTGCGTCTCGATGCAGGGAAAGACCTCAAATAATTTTTCCATTTCAAGCAGCCATGATTATGCCTTTAACGGCTCAATGCTACCCAAGAAAGTTGGTGGTTTCATTTTCATGAATTTCCGTGTTAGGTTGATGATGTCATTATTATCTAATTCAACTTGAACTGGAGGGGGCAGAGGAGGCATTGGTTGTTGTCTTTGTTGATGTGCTAATGCTTCGGTTAGAGTGGTAATTATCTGTTCCATTCGGCTCATTCGGGCCTCGGAAGATTCACTTATATCATTTCCCCTTGCATTCTCCATTTCGCTAAAGAAAGACAAAGTAACAATAAACATAGGAATAATCTTGTTCATTTCTTTTAATTTTTATTTATTCAGATTCAAATTCAGTTTTCACATGTATAATAATTATCACACACTCACACATACTAATGAAAAGTCCCTAGTTCTTTTTAGGACACCCTATAGCTCTTATGGACTCGTGTGTGTGGTTTAACATGTGCTCTGATACTACTCTGTCATGACCCAAACCAGCCCTTATAGGTTTAACATCGTAACCGGCCAATAATCCTTGGATTACCAAAGGCCTCTTAACGGAATAACATATGTTTAGGGGTTGTGGAAGCAAATATACTATATACACATAGTCCATAAAGCCATGCAGACTTACATGGGGCAAAATTTGAAACCTTATAAAATATATTTACGTATATGTCATCAAAATGCAGTAATCTTCATCACATTTAATACAGTTGTAGCCTAAAAGGGGTATAGCCCAATATACACATAACAAAAGACTTGTTCGCATTACTAAAAATACAAGGTCTTAACTTATGCCGTTTAGACTTGACTTGCACACAAAAAAGAACCTCCTCGGAGCTACAGCGGCTAGCTGACAAAATCAAAAAGGAACCTCCTTGGAGGCACAACGGCTAGCTAACAGAATAAAGATACCAGATCCTCAACTTTGGGTCTGGTCATGTGCCTGGTCACCTGCATACATATTATAAATAGTGAGCGGAAGCCTAGTGAATAATAACACAGTAAAGATTTTAATAAATGATGCCCAGAACATATTTCAAATCTCATAGCAAATCAGAATTATAATCAAGTTTATAGTTGAAACAAAGTCATAGGCTTATTCATATTCAAATCATGCGTGGAACATCCATTAGAATAAACATGTCTCTTTGGTCAAGCGTATCAAGTTCCAAAAAGAAACCTCTGGTACCGGATAACATATGTCATACATGGGCCACGGTATTGTTTCCCCCGGGCGAGGTCTTGTGCCACGGTATTATCTCCCTTAGGCGAGGGCCTCATGACTATAAGCCTCCAAAACCCTTGATCTCTTGAAGTTCCTTCGATCTAGATCCATCTTCTCTCTCTAATCTTGAAGATCAAAAGCTAGAGTTTCATCCTTGTGTGGTGGTAGACCAAAGATTCTCACCTCTTGATTCTAGGGTTTCTCCTCTCATCTTCTCCAAAGCTTTGAGGTAAGGATTTCTTGAGTTATATATACATGTTGTGCTATATATATGTTGATTTAAAAGCTTTCTTGTAGTTTTTGTGTTGATTTTGATTTTGTTCCAAATATAGAGAAAGTTTTGAAGAAATGGTTTTGATCTCAATCTTTTCCTATCTATGAGAACATTCTTTTTACAAAACTCAAGACGGATGTGATTTTGATTGGGTTTCACCATGAAATGGGAGGATGTTGGGGATTTTGGAAGATAAGAATAGTGCTTATGAAGTTCTTTATTATCTTGTGTCAAGAGGGTGAATGAAGAAGTGTAAATCTTATTGTGTGTTTTTATTAAATAGCAAATCTTCTTGATATATGAGCCATGAGAATTATTTTAGCATTGTTACTAGATAATTGAGTATGTATAGTTGAGGAGTGGTAAATCATTGTGCACTATGGATTGTGAAAATTAAAACCATGGGAGAGTTATGTTTGAAAACATCACATATGGCCTTGAAGAGGCTAAATTGATTAGAATTGTGCATGATGGGAAATTGTTATTATGTGATAAAGGCACATGGTTATTTTGCGAAATAATGTTGAAGTTAAGAAATGAGAAAGGTAGTTGCTTGTTATTGTTGTTAAGACATTTGGAAATTGAGAAATGTTATGAAATATTAAGTAATGCATCATATCCTTATTTGAATTATCATCATTATTGCATATTTGAAATGAGTTGGAAAGATGTTTACTTTGAGAAAAATTTATGCTGAAATGAGAACTATGGAAATGTGGTATGGGGTAAATACGTAGTAAGTCCGGATAGGAAGTGTAGTTGAACTTGATAAGTTGGCCTGTGTGTCCATGGTGAAAGACCAGAAAACCGCGCGAATAGGTGTCGAGCCTTCCGGTTAATATCGCTAAAATTGACAATTTGGTAATACTTGTAGAGTCTACTTGCAGACACCAGCCTAGGGATTACCAGTGTCGTATTTACCGCCCCTATTGATTAAAATTGGAAGTTTTGAAATATGTGGAGATTGCTGGCTTTTATTGAAAATGAAAATCCTTAAGAAGAGCATAAAATGAAATTTTCTTTAAGAGAGCATGGCATAGCATGGACATTAGTATTTTATTGAGATTTGGCATAACTGTATATACTTTGTTAGAATTTTCTACTAGGCGTTATGCTCACCCCTATGGGATTTGATGCAGGTAAAGATGTGGTGATCCCGCTGAACTGAGGGCGTGGATATTTTTTTGTGAAGAGTAAATAGCTCTTTTATTTTTGTTGTAAATTTTGTAAAGCCAAGGGCTAAACGTGTATGGGTCCGAGAGACCATTTTGTGTAACCGGGTTATTGCCTTGGAAGATGTAAGCCCTTAAGGGCATTTTATTGTTTTGAGACTAGGCGGTTCACATGCTATAGATTCATGTGTATTTTCATCAATGTATATCCGCATGTGAAATTTTTGTATAACTCTTTTAGTAACTATGTAAAGATGGAAGGCTTATTGTCATGGTTTAGTGAATGTTAATTAATATGGGTAGTTCGTGTTGAATTATTTCGGGGCATTATATAGGCCAACTTATTCAATATCATCTACACCACCTATCAAGACTTACCAACGTATTTACCCCAAAATCATTCTATGAAAACTTGTTTCTCAACATTCTTTTCTCAATGTAAGTTTTCAAATCAACTTTCAAAGTTTAATGTAATCAAATAAATTGATATGTCAATAACACAAGATGAATATAAATACTGTTATTCTAATTCATCATCCAAGGAATAACACAATTCCCTGCTCGACCCCCGTAAGTTGACCGGGTCAAAATCGGGATCACTACAATTTCTCACTAAAAATCTCTTTTTGCTCATATAAATGGGAGTATAAGATTTACTTTATATAAGTAAAACAATTCAATTTGTTCTTCTTTTTTCTCGACATGGGATTGTAAAATAAAAATTAAATGAAAGCTAGCCAATGAGGATTTTCTTAATTGTTTACAAGTTAACAATTGTTTGGGATGGAAGTTTATTTCGAA